TGTGGCCCCGCCCTGACTCAGCTGGCCACCAATCCTTCCCCCTCTTCCAGCTCCTGGGCCTCTTCCCCTCCCTTTGCCAGTCTCAGTCCCTCTCCCTGCTGAGCCCATCTCTCTACCTTTTGTAGAGGAGTTTCAGGGACCCCCAGGGAGTGGGGTGCTGAGGGAGAGGAGGCCCAGGGGGTGAAGGTCTGTATCCCCAACTCCTGTTAAACTAGAACAGCCCTATCCATGCCTATGTTAGGGATTTGGGTTCCTGAAATAGTTTACTTGTGGGGGGAAATGCTCTGCTGTTTGAAAATTATTCTTCTTAGTACAAAGGCTCTGGCCCTCTTTACCTGTGTGACTTGGGCAAGTCCCATGACCTCTCTGGGGCTTAGATTCGTTCTTTGGAAAATGGTGGTGGACGAGGTCCGTACTTCCTCACCTTCCCTGTGTGGCGGGACACGTGCAAAATGTGTTCCCTTGAGGACACAGGGAAGAAGGGGCAGCTTGGGGACTCTGTCCAGCCACCAGGTCATGGTCTGTACTTGGTTTGTAACTCAGACTTGGTTCAACCACTGAAAAGCTTGAGACCTGAAAATCTCCAGCTCAGACCCCCAAGATCCTCTCCTGTGATCATGTCGTATGGGGTGGCTGACACAAGAAGTGGGGACAGGGCGCGAACTGCAGGTTTATTGGTTCCCAGCTGCGGGCAGCAGCACTGGCCAGGTCACAGGGCTGGGATTAGGGGCGGAGCCGGAGCCCCGGACACTCCCGAATCTTACCTGGTTCTAGAAACGCTTTAGGGAGAGGCGTCCCTGCCCCGTAGCCCCATGCACCAGGGTCATGCCAGGGTGGCTGGGCATGTCCCGATTGCAATTTAAAAACATCCTGAAAAAATAGCTTTTGTGAAAATTCCACTCTGGGGCCAGCGGGGGTACGAGCGGGTAATGTGCCAGCCTGGGGCTCACTCCCGAGGGTCTCTGGGTGGGCGCTTGCTGAGCCCCCCTCCACGTGTCTGCGGGGGCCTCAGGCCAGCACGTAGACCTCCAGCAGGCTGGAGACCGCGTGCATGCGGTAGAAGATGCCGAAAGGCAGGCAGATGTTGACGATGGCGGCCCAGAGGGAGTAGCCGTAGAAGTCCACCTCCACCTTGTTGCTGAAGTGAGGGCGGGCCCCGAAGGCAGGCATGATCCACAGCTGCGGGGGAGACGGTGTGTCAGGACCCGGCCCCGACTGGCCACATCCGTGGGCTGCGCTGGGGGTCCCAGCCCTGCAGTTGGGTGGACAGCAAGGGCTGGGTGTTGCTGAGTGGGGACCTCCCGCATCTTGGAAGGGACTGGTGCTCTCTAAGGAGTTCAGGAAATGTGCCGGACTCAGCTTGCCCACCCCATAGGACTCGCCCTGTGATCACAGCTCCCCCATAGGAGGCCCCACTTGTGGGATGGAGAGAGGAGAAGAGGGCTCATTAGATGATGTGAGAATTTGATACACATTTAGAAATGGCTAAGTCAGAGCTGGAGAAATGTGTGGCAAATCAGCCAGGCCCAGGCAGGAGGGGCGGGATCCAGCCAGAAGGTTCTGGTGTGGGCTCTGAGGCAAACAACAAGGGCTTCTGGGCTCACCCCACCCTCCCCATTTCCAATTAGCTGTGCCATTGAGCACATCGCAGCCTTTTTCTCAACCTGTTTCTGTCCTATAAAATGCTGCTCTCAGAGTTGATCCAGGCTCAGGTCCCTGGAGCAAAAACAGCCTTTCCCAAGGTGACTCCCAGCCAGTGGGCGGGGCCAGCAGAAGGTGAGGGCGGGGCCAGGGCTGGGGCCGGCTCAGGATAGATTCCACTGGTAGGTGGGAGATTGCCGGGCCCTCTTTTTCTATAGACTATCTATAGGAGGGCAATATGTACAGTGGGGACTTCACTAAGAATGCACCCCAGTTAGGATGGATTGTTGGTGTTTTTCATGGGGTGGAATCTCTCTGGAGATGTTTTACGTTGATAAACCCACATCAAGGCTGTTCCTATATTACGAGTATTGTTTTCTATTGAAGGTGATATCTGGAAGGACTATATTCATAGCGAGTGAAATTTCTCTAGGTGTGTCTCTCTCTGGGAAGTACTCACATGGGCGCGTGTTTCTGTGTCAGAGGTTTCCCCTGGGATTAGGTCTGTGCAGTGGGGTGGTAGCTACATTAGGGGTGCTCCTCTAGTGGGGTGCACCCTTGTGAGGACAGTTTCCATGCACGGCGCATATTTGTGTTGGGTGAAGTCTGCTGGGGTCCAGAGGAGTCTCTCTTAATCAGGGGCTTTGCTGAACCACTGGGGAGGGGGTGCTGTTGTGGGCACCGCCCTTCCGGGCCAGCCCACCGCTGCTAATCGACCGCTCGCACTTACACTGCCCTCAGCTGCTTCCTGCCGCTGCCCCAGTTATTCTAAGCAGCAGGCTGGTCATGAGCTCCCAGGAGCAGTCACACCTCCCACCTGAGGGTGAGGGCCCCCACTCCCCACACCAGTTCTCACAGCTCCCTCTGCCCTCGGCCCTGCCCCGTCCCCCTCCCTCCCCAGCATTCCCTGGGACCCTTCCCGCTCCTGTGGTGGCTGCCTGGCTGCCGGAATGCCAGGACTCCGTCCTCTGGGTGCTGAGATGCTGTTTGCCCGGCTGCACCAGACCCTTTCGGAACCTACTCCTTCCCTAGACAGACATAGATTCTCGAGTAGGCTGGGGCCAAGACAGAGAGGCCAAGTGACTAACCCTGAAAGAACCTCTTTCCTGGTCCCCCCAGGCCCCAGGCACCCC